AGGGCGGGCAGCGACAGCGGGTCCGGGCAGCTGAAGCCGTGCAGGGTCAGGGCGCGCAGGCGGGTGCCCAGGGCCTCCGCCAGCGGCAGCACCTCTGCCAGCGCCCGGCCGCGCTGCCCGGCACAGCCCAGCGTCAGCCGGGACAGGCACTCCCAGCCCCGCAGCTCCCGCAGCCCCGCGGGGCCGGGCCCGTCCCCCAGCCACACGCTGAGCTCCTCGGCCCGGGGACACACGGCGTGGACGGCGCCCAGGGCGTCCTCCTCCAGCTCCTCGAGCTGCCGCAGGGGCAGGGTGAGCGGGGGCCCCCCCGGCACCGCTCCCCGGCCCCGCGCCAGCTCCCGCAGCGCCGGGAAGCCCTCGGGGCCGGCGGTGCCGTCCAGCTGCCCCGCCTGGAGCAGGCGCAGCGCGTCCGGCACGGCCCCGTGTGCCAGCACCTCCAGGAGCGGCAGGGCCAGCAGCAGGAAGGCCACGGCGGCCACCCCGTCCCCGTCGCCGTCGGGCTCCAGGTCGCGGGCCAGCAGCACCCGCAGCGCGGGGCAGCCGGGGGTCTGTGCCAGGGGGTCGTAGCCCAGGTGCCGCAGGGCGCGGGGGGTCACCTTCCTGCAGCCGGACACGTCGAGCTCCCGCAGGAGGCGGCAGCAGGAGCCCACGGCCGACAGCACCTGCACGTTGGCCTGCGTGTGTGCCAGCCCCAGGCGGCTCAGCCGGGGCAGCCCCTCGGCCACGTCCACCAGCACGGCCGGGGACAGCCGCCCGCAGCCCCCCAGGTCCAGGGAGCTCAGGCCCTGCAGTCACACGGGGAGACCCTCAGTGGGGAGGGCAGGGGGGCACGGATCCCCCGTACCCACCCGTGGTGAGTGGGCACCCTAAGATGCCAAGCGAGGTCTGGGACCCCCCACCCACTCCCCCTTTCCCATGGACCCTGGCACCCCCAGCCCCTCTTCCCCGGCCCCATGGTGGGTGGGCATCCCCAGTGTCACAGAGGACGGGCACCCCCTGCCCCACTCTCCCAATCCCACGGACCATTGCACCCCCAGCCCCACGGAAGGTGGGCTTCCCCAGCTCCATGGACCATTGCACCCCCAGCCCCAAGGACCATTGCACCCCCAGCCCCACGGAAGGTGGGCTTCCCCAGCTCCATGGACCACGGCACCCCCAGCCCCTCTCCCCCCTCTCCACAGAGAGCGGCACCCCGAGCCCCAAGGCCCGCGACAGCCCACCCCGCTCCCCCAGCCCCGGGGCAGCCGTGCCCCCGCTGCCCCGTGCCCACCTGGCAGCGCAGGACGACGAGGTGGCCCAGGGCGTTGTTGGCCAGGGAGGGGCAGTGGCGCAGGCTGAGCTGGCGCAGGTGGGGCAGCAGCAGCAGGTGCAGGGCTGCACGCGACAGGCGCCGGCTGCTCCCCAGCAGCCGCAGCAGCTCCTGCACCAGCCCGCAGGCTGGGGGGCACGGGTCACTGGGGCTGGCACCAGCCCGCAGGCTGGGGGGCACGGCTCAGTGGGGCTGGCACCCACCCGCCAGGGCAACGGGGGCCAGCAGGGCTCGGGACCCCCCGTTCGCCCCACACAAGGGTCAGCGGTGCCCGGCACCTCCACCCGCCCTGCATGGGGGGCTCAGGGTCCTGGCATGCCCACCCACCCACCTGGGGGTCAGCGATACCCCTCCACCCATCTGGGGGTCCCAGGGCCCCGGCACCACCCTCCTGCCCAGCACGGGGGGGGCATCAGGGACCCTGGCACACCCCCCTCCCCTCCCCAGGGCTCACCCAGGTCGTTGAAGGGGCCCACGAGGAAGCGGAACTCGTACTCGTCCAGGTAGTTGTCACTGTAGTCCTTGGCCCAGAAGCTCTGCATGTGCTGGGCCAGGCTCTGCAGGCACAGCGAGGCCAGCGTGGGCACTGCCCGCCGCCGGGGCATCCCTGGGGTGGCACGGGGATGGGGACAGTCAGGGATCAGTCACTGTGGGCACTGCCTGGTGCTGGGGCATCCCTGGGGTGGCACAGGGACCGGGACAGTCAGGGATCAGTCACTGTGAACACTGCCCGGTGCATCCCTGGGGTGGCACAAGGATGGGGACAGCCAGGGATCAGCCACTGTGGGCCCTGCCCAGCGCTGGGACATCCCTGGGGTGGCACAGGGATGGGGACAGTCAGGGATCAGTCACTGTGGGCCCTGCCTGGCACCATGGCATCCCTGGGGACAGGGATGGGACTGGGACAGTCAGGGATCAGCCCCCATGGCCATCATTGTGGGGACAGGGACACTCAGGGAGGGGACGCGGCACTGCCACCCGGCACGGCCCCACCTCACTTTGGGGTCCCTCTCGCCCAGCCGGGGCAGAGCCGGCCCCTCCCGGCCCGGCCGTGCCCTCGGCCCCGCCCGGTGCCCGTTTTGGTTTCGGTTTCACTCTGTTCTCGGCTTTATCCTGGGGGGAATCCCACCGCGATCCAGGGATGAACCAGCGCGGCCCAACCTCTGAAACCCCCCCTGAACCGCCCCCCGGGACATCCCAAACCTCACCCGCAGCTCCCGGCGGCTCCGGGAGTTATCCTGGGAGTTATCCCGGGGTTAACTGGCTCCGGGGACTCCCGGCTGGTGGCACTGGCCCCCGTGTCCCTGGAATTCAGCAAGCAACGAGGGGGTGAATCCTGACGGGACATTGAAGCCTCGGCCTGACACCGAATCCCTGTTCCTGGATGTGTAAACTTGGGAGACACCCTGGAGCGCCCAGTGGGGCGGGGAAGGGTCACTGGGGTGGAAACTGGGGAGGGGGAACACCAGCCCTGCTGTCGGGGGGCCTGGAGACATGGGGACATGGAGACCGGGAAAGGACCCTCCGGGACTGGGAAAAGACCCTCTGAAACCCGGAAAAGACCCTCTGCGAGAGGGAAAAGACTCCCAGGGTCAGGGAAAAGACCCTCTGGGATGTGGAAAAGACCCTCCGGGTCTAGGATGAGATCATTGGAGACTGGGAAAAACTCCCGGGGACTGGGAAAAGGCCCTCCAGGGACAGGGAGAGACCCTCAAGACACTGGGAAAAGACCCTCTGGGACCGGGATAAGACCCTCTGAAACCCAGAAAAGACCCTCTGCGAGAGGGAAAAGACTCCCAGGGACAGGGAAAAGACCCTCTGGGATGTGGAAAAGACCCTCCGGGACAAGGATGAGATCATCAGGGACTGGGAAAAACTCCATGGGACTGGGAAAAGGCCCTCCAGGGCCAGGAAGAGACCCTCAAGACACTGGGAAAAGACCTTATGGGACTGGGATAACTCCCCCTTTGGGACCCCTCCTTTGGGGACCCTTCTTTGGGGACCCCCCTTTTGGGATCCCCTAATTGGAGACCCCCTCTTTTGGAGACCCTTCCTTGGGGAACTCCCCCTTTTGGGATCCCCTAATTGGAGACACCCTCCTTTGGGACCCCTCCTTTAGGGATCCTTCCTTTGGGAACTTCCCCTTTTGGGATCCTTTGGGACCCCTCTTTTGGGGACACCCCCTTAAGGACTCCCCCTCAGAGACCCCTCCCCAGGGACCCCCCCTCTTTGAGACCCCCGACCACCCCCCTTGGGGGTCTCCTCCCGCGCTGGAATCAACACCAAGACCACACCAGACCAGGCCCAAGATCGAGCCCATGTAAACAACCCGTCCCCATGGCAACAGCACCCGCTACCACCCCCCCCCGCGCTATCACTGAGACCCAGAAGCACTTACTGGCGGCTCCTCTCCCCGTCTTATCCTTTCTCTTCCCGTCCCGTCCCGATTGGTCCCATCCCTTTTTTTTTTTTCCTCCTCTTCCTCC